GCCCTCCTGTCTCTGCGTCGCGTCCTCCGCCCACCTCCGTGTCTGTCCCCCTCTGGGCCCACCTTGTGGACGGCCTTCCTCAGGATGTCCTTGTACTCCTCCTTGGTGATGTCCTTCTTCTGATAGTACGGCTTGATGGCCAGCTTCACCTCCTCCACCGCCCGCTCCTGTGTGTGCAGCTTCTTCAGGTACTGGCGACAGTGACGGGGGGAAAGGGGACAGCAAGGCGAGGTGAGTTCCTGCGGGACCCGGCCTCCACCCCTGCCTGCCACTCAGCCTCCTGGACCAGCAGCCCCTCCTGGAGGGGGACGCCGTGCTCAGGGGCTGCCTGGGCACCCCGTGCTGAGGTCACCACGGACCACAGGCCTGGGCTCTGAGTGTCACTGAGCACGCCCTCCAGGCCGCACTCTGGCTGTCCCAGGTGGCCACGGACACACGCGTCCCCTGCCCTGACAAAGTTCACAGTCCAGTGGGGAGACAAGACGTTAGCCGAGCAGGACGACTGTTGTCATCAGACTCTATGAGGCTTCTGATCGCAGCAGGAACATGTGGCCAGGCTTCCCAGCGTGGGCTTCACGACACTGCCCTGGCTGCCGGGGGTCCAGGACTGGTTAGGAGCAGAGGGGAGGGCACGGGGGGAGGTGCTAGAATCCTGCTCTACCACCGTGGCCTGGACGAGGGACCAAACCCTCTACAGCTCACTTGTAAAATGCAGACAGTACTCGTGGGGCAGGGGACGACGACCCATGGAGGCCCAGCAAGGGGAGCTGTGACTGTGCTGAGGTGGGGACAGGACAGGGAGCAGCTGAGAGACCTCAACCCCTGCCTCAACCTCAAGTGGGATCTTTGCAAAAACCGACGGATAGGACACCTCTAGCAGGAGAGCACATTCAAGCCAGAGCCAGTCTGCACAAGGGACAGTCACCCGAAACAGCAACCCTGGGGAGGTCGCCTCCCGGGCCAGGGCTGAGGAAAGACGGGAACACACTCCAGACTTCAGGGCCAGCATCTCGGAAGAGATGATGCAAACTGTCTGCTG